GTGCGTCAGGTTCGTGGCAATGGGATCGTGGTCAGTGTCCTCTGTCGTGCTTCCCTCTTCCGCAACGTGGCGATTTTGGGCGGTGGCATGCCTTGTGTGGGTCCGCTGGTATCATGTCTGGCACAGTGTGCACCTGCGAGGCCTGTGAGAAGCTCTGGAGTTGGCCCGGGGCGGCCCGCGCATTTTTTTCTCCTGGCTTCCGACAGCCAGGTTCCTGCCGCTGTTTTTGGTGATCTCCCTGGGCCCTTGCAGTCTTCTCCCAGGGCCGAGTTTTCCGCCTGTCACCAGGTTCTCCAAATGACGATTTTGCACGTCGTTTTTTATGCGGATTAGAAAGGCCCGGTAGTCGGGCTGCATGCTGGAGGGTGTTGGACACGCGGCCCCATGTGGCCCAATGTAGATTCGTGGGGCCAGATTTGGGCTAAAGGTTCGTGGTGTAGGAGGTTTGGGGAACAGGCTTCAGGTCCACCGCATCAATGCCCATTAGCGCGGCACCTCCCTCCACATTCGTGGCAATCGATGGGCAGACCATTCAGCGGCTCGAGGTCGAGAGCTCCGCTGCGCGACCGAGACTGTCATCCGACCAGTTAGAATTGCTACGGAGTCCCGGAGCCAAGCTTCTTGAGTGCTGGGTCAAAACGCATCTGCTCCTCATGGATGCCGGCCGCGCCCCCGCTCGGTCCCGCGCTGAGTCTGGGGCCCGACCGGCGAGGCCAGTTGAAGATGGCGCGGCCAGGCGTGATGAGCCCACTCGCGGCCAATCTACAGTTGCAGGCGAGCTGTTCTGGACATGCTTTTACTGCAAGCGTGGGTGCCGCGCCGCGCATGTCAGGGTTGCTTTGAAACGTGGGCTTGCCTGGCTCGAAATCTCGGGGTGAGGGCTGCCAGTACTTCGGTCGATGTTGTGCACTTTCCTGGGGCGGTGAGCTTGGCTGCCCTCCCTGTCGGTGGTGCGCATCGGGGCTGGTCTGGATTGGCGGGGTCGCAGCTGCTGCAGTCTCTCCTCCGCGGTGAGAGGGGGGGCGCAGGCTGGGAACGTCTAGCTTTCCAGATTTTGTCCAGGGGCCTCGGGGCGTGGGGCTGGAAGGTCCACGGCGCTTGCGAGAGGGTGGTAGCGGCCTCGACGTGGGGGTCCTGCGAGAGTCCATCGTTCGGTTCGTTCTCTCGTCGCCTTCTCCTCCCACGTGGAGGTGTGGGCTCCCGGCTCACGCCTGCTCTCGCAGGCACTGGAAGATGCCGGCCGTGTGCCAGGGCGCCATGGGCCTGATCCCGCGCCTGGCGCGTCATCTGACGATGAGCGAAGGGGGGTGGGCATCATGGGCCGTCCATGCCTCGCGCTCTCCGCAGTCCCTGCGTGCCCCCTGCCCGACAGGGGCATCGTCGATCCCCGCCCCGCTCGGAGCCATCGTTGCTGAGTCTTCTCGGGAGCTGGCGTTGCGCGTCAAACGCGGTTTCTACGTTTCGGGGTCTGCAGGCCGCTTTCCCCTCGATTGCCTGAGCCCCGAGGATGCTCGTATGTCTGAGAGGGCCAGAAGGAATCGCATACTCTCCTTGGCTAGTTCCGACTCGGCCGATGAGGGGAGGCCGGGCGCCAGGTCAACCCCCGCTCCTGATCCGCTCCAGGCTGGATGGCCCAGAGGTTGTATGGCTTAGGCTCGCAGTTTTGAATGTGTGCCGAACCAGTATTCTTGATGTGGCGCGTGGAGTCACTCGTTTGATCTTGTTTGCAGCGCGCAGGGGCGGCGGCGGCGGTCGAGAGGGCGAGAGAGGGGCACCCTCGCGCGCGTTCCCGCTCAACTTCAAGGGCCGCCGCCCGCCTGCTGTGCTGCTGCTGCCGCCGCTACCACTCTCGCCGAGATTTTCCGGTGGGGGGCGGGTGGGGCCTTCCTTTGGCGCGGAGGGTGATTCATTTGGGTCGCCCTTCTCCTTGAAGTGTGCATGTTTGCCCAGCGCGGCGTTTCCTTGCAGAGCGCGGTCCTCTTTCACGCTCCTCCGCCTTCTCCCCGTTCGCTTTTGCCCCCCCCCCGAACCCGCCGTTTGGTTTCCGTTCGTTCGGCCCCTTTTTCTGGCCTTTCGTGCTTGTGTGTTCGGTTCGCACTTCGGCCGCCCTCGGTCCCTCGCTCGCTTGGGCCCCTCTCTGATGTCTGCCCTCCTTGTTCCCAGCCGTCCTGTGGTTCTGGGTCCTCGCCCTGAACTCCTCGCCTCTGCCCTCCGCGTGCCAGCCTCAACGCGTCCCTCGCGCGCGTCGTGGCCCCGTGGGCGGCTCCGCCGAAGGCCCCAGTGGGCAAGCTCACGGGCGTCCCCGCCCTGTAAGGAACCCCACCGGGAGCCCCGGTGGGCATGTTCGCGTGGAGCCCCCGGCGCGCATGTCCGCAGTGGGAGCTCCGCCCGAAAAACCAGGAGGGCATGTTCGCACAGTTTCCCCCGCACATTTTCAGCACACCCCTCACGCGCTTCGTGGCCCCATAGGCAGCTTCACCGAAGGCCTCTGTGGACACGTGCTCCCCCGTCCATTGCGGCACACCCCTCGCAGGTTTCGCGGCTGCTTAGGGGTCTCCACCGAAGGCTCCAATGCGAATGCCCCCGTTGCGTTGCCTCGCCCATTTCGGCGAATCCTTCGCCGTTGCCCCAATGGGAGTTCCACCGAAGGCCCTGCGGGCAACGCTCCGAAAAACGATGTTTTGGGCTACTCGCAGTTACATATGTTTGGGCCCGTCACCTGGCTATTTCGAGCTCGGAGTTTTAAATGCCCAGGGTGATCCACTCCCAGGGGACTGTGAATAATACGGGCCGACGTGGAACGTTCAAACGTGGAATGTTAGCACGCGTGGGCCCCAAACGGTACGCTCTTGCATTGTAGAGTGTGCGTTATGAGATGCACCCATGCGGTGCAAGCTGTGTGGTGTAAGCTATGTTGTGCAAGCTATGCGGTGCAAGCTGGGTAATATTCCCTACGTGGTGTAAGCTATGCGGTGTAAGCTTTGTGGTGCAAGCTGTGTGGTGCAATATATGGGGTGCACACTCTGTGGTGCAAGCTATGTTGTGCAAGCTGGGTCGTGCACCATACCTGGAGTAAGCTATGTGGTGGAAGCTTTGTGGTGCAAGCTGTGTTGTGCAATCTATGTGGCGCACACTTTGTGGTGCAAGCGATGTCGTGCAACATGCTACGTGGTTTGGGCTTGTGTGGTATGAGTCGCGGCCGATGGGCACGTGGCCGCCAGGCCTGCGGACGGGCTTCTTATTTGTAAGAATGAGGCGGCAACGCACGGGAACGGGGCCGCAGGGCCCGCAGACGGGTCCAGTTCCTTAGAAACGGAGTGAGAACCCCTGAGGGCAAGCACTGTTTGGGGAAGGTCGCATCTTGCATCAACGTGCTAGGCCTTGCGCTTTCTTGCAGCCTTAGGTGTGATGTAGAAGTCACTCGGGTTGCCCTCCGCAGTGTTTCTCCGGAGCACTTCGAAGTTCATCTCGAGCCCCCTCGTCCCGTGCCAGAGAGGGATCGACATGCTGAACTTTGTCGCCAGTGCACGCATTTGGGTTCGTGCTGCTTCTTGGGATCCGTCCCGTGCCATGGGCGCTTTCTGAAGAGCCAGACAGGTGGATGATTTGACGCGGATGGGGGGACTGGCCTACGCAGTTCCCCCTCGACGAATTGCGGTTCAAGTTTCCACACGGCCCAGGTCTTAGCACGTGGCCGTGGCCGTCTGAATTCCACTGGCCCAGACCATGTCCAGCCTGTCGTTGCCCTCACACCTCACACCTCCTCCTCCTCCTCCTCCTTCTCCTCCTCCTCCTCCTCCTCCTCCTCCTCCTCCTCCCTCCCCCTGCTTTTCCTCCTCCTCCTCCTCCTCCTCCTCCTCCTCCTCCTCCCGCCACGGGTTGACGGCTGCAGGGGGCTGGCCGCGAGCAGCGCCGCGGGTTGATGCCGTCCAGGGGGCGAGCGTGGGGAAGCCTCCCAACTCGGTCTTGGACAACCCTTTTATAGTCAAGGAGGAGGAGGAGGAGGAGGAGGAGGAGGAGGAGGAGGAGGAGGACGAGCCTTTCTAGGGTACCCTTGTGCCCTTGCCTCTGCGGCCCGTCCTTTGCCGTTTCCGCTGGGGTTTTGGTCCCCCGCCGCCCCCCCCCAAAAGTCCCAGCTGCGGCCTCCGAGGGTCTTTGCGTCCTTGCCGCCCGTCCTTCATCTGCGGTTGCGCGGTGCGTGGTCTGCCGGGAGGCAGGGTGTGCGGGTGGAGCCAGCCCTTCGGCCGGATGGCGATGGGGGGATCAGGACATGGGGGGATGAGTATCCGGTACCGTTTTGTTGGGGTACAATTTGTACCTTCTCTGCGGGTTGCAAGTGCAAATTGTACCTTCTCCCCCCCGTTAACATCCTCGCACATGTCGCGGACGTTGTCAAAAGTACAAAATGTACCTTGTCTGCGTGGCGTCGGTACAATTTGTACCTTCTCCGTGGGGCGTAGGTACAATTTGTACCTCGGTTGCGCCTCTCCCCCCCCCTGGACTTATCCCCCCATTTGCATCCCGCCAAGCCCTGGGCGGTCGGCTGGATCGTCCAGGGGCCGCAGTCTTCTGCGGAGCCGGGGCCGAAGCGCGCCGCGGGAGAGGCACGGCGTGCACTCTTGCACCGCCCTGGGGCCCAGGGGCCCGCACGGGTATCGATCTGGCTCGAGCGTCGCGCGCAGGAGCTGGGCCGGAGGCTCCCGTCGGGAATTGCCATGACGACGTGATTGCCCACGACGAGCCTAGAGGTCTGGATTCCCCCTCCGTCTTATGATGTTCCAACCTACCTTAGCCTTGATCGCCAGAAAGATCTTCGAGCACCAGAAAAGCACCGAAACTCGAGGGTTTTCACGTGCCGGGCCCTGGGAGACACTCATCCGACACTGTTTCGACACTCTTTCGACACTCGTTCGGCACTTTTCCGGGTGCTCGAAATCATTTCTGGGATGGGATCCTTAAGTGCGGTGGGGGCAACATAACCTTCGTCGCCTTTCGGCTCAAGCCGCAAAACCACACCACTTTACATACTCGTGGGTCACAGCCCACCACTCGCTCGCTCCCCGAGATGCAGGTGGACAGGAGTGCCAGAGATGCCCTCTTCGAGAAGGCGTGCGCATGTGAAGATCTCTTGGCCCGTCTTGGCACCCGGCCCAACCTCAGTCCTGACTCCGACCATGAGGTTGATGACGAGCCCCTCCGTTGCTTGTCTTCGGTGGGGATCAACGGTTATGGCTTAGCTGTCGAAGCCAAGGGTGCTTCCAGAGCATTCGAGAAGTCGCCCGCCTCACTGTGGGGTCCCGCTCTTGCGCGGACGCCCGGGAGCGCACGCACGCCACTGAGCAGCATGGCTTCGGCGTTTGTTCCGCGTGCTTCGCAGGTGGTCAGCACGCCCCAGCAGCCTCCCAGATCAGAGGATGTTCCAGTTCCCTGTTTTGCACGCCAATTATCGACAGAGCCAGCGCCGACCACAGCGATGCTGCTGAACCTGCCGTGCGACCTGATGTGTGATGCTCTGCTCCTGGTGTTGAACGCTCACGGCTTTGCAGGGCTCTACGATTTTGTCTACGTTCCAGTTGACTTCGAGAGCCGGAGAGGCAAAGGCTTCGCTTTCGTGAACATGATCACTGAGGAACACATGCAGCGCTTGGTCCAGGTCTTCCACGGCTACAGCGGCTGGTCACGTGGGCGACGAAAAATCTGCAAGGTGACTTCGTCCAATGTGCAGGGCTTGCGGGCGAACGTTCGTCGCTATCGGAACAGTCCAGTGATGGGCCACGACGTTCCTGACATCTTCAAGCCAGTGCTCTTCTCGGGCACTCAGCAGGTTCCGTTCCCTAAGCCGACCAAGTGTTTGCCCCAGATTCAGCCGAACGGGCGTCCCATGTGCGCACGCGCGCTCCAATAGGCTTGATAGCTCTGTCCGCACGGCGAGCTGTCTGGGATTACCCTCCCTGTCCGGGCTGCCAGGGTTGCCTCAGGCTACCGTTCGATCTTATCTGTGCCATTGACCTGCTCGCTCCGATTCGATCCAATCAACGCTGGATGCGTGGGCGCGAGTTTGCCCCTCCTCCTTTCCCCCTCAACCCACCCTCTGTCCTACAGTCGAACATCTGATGAAGAGGCCTCCGCCCTGGAAGCTGGGCCAGCGTTTCCGGACCAGCTTTCCGGAAGGCTGGCCCGGGTTCTTGAGCGTTCCCTGCGCCCCTCCAGCGCCAGCCGCAGAACTTGGCCGGGGCTTGTTCCCAGAAGCTCCCGGGAAGCGGGCCCAGCTTTCACGATCGATAACTTTCTGCATCAGGTTTTCGGCTGTTCTCTTCCTCCCCGGGCCTCTTCCTCCGCTCGCTCCACGGATCCCATCCGGCCCGGCCGCGCCCAGAGCTGCTCTGTCGGTCGAGGGCGGCAGCGCGGCTGCGCGTCTCCGCAGAGCCCCTCCAGGTTCTTGGAGCTGGTCTGTGGTCACCGTGTGAGTCCGCCAACGTGTCACACTTTTGAGGCCACGGCCCTCACGACGCGCCCTAATGGGCACGGGCGGGGGCTCCCCAGAGGCGCGCGCACCACTCCGGCGTTCGCCGCTCCGCTTCGCCTCGCTCCAGGTGCCTGGACTGCCTGGGAGGGGGGGTCGCGGCGCGCGTCCGTGCGGTCTGGCTGGGCGCCGCGTTATAATGCGCACGGTGCCGTGGGCCCTGTGCTCTTCAGGTTCGCTTGCCGCGTGCACAGCCCCGCCGCCGCCGTGCCAGCGCAGCACTGATGCAGCGTCAGGATCGGGCTCCCCTAATTAGTGTCCACCGTGGCTGCCCCAGCTCCGTCGTCCTGCCACGGCCCTGCCGTGGTGGTGGGGGGGGCCTCTGCCAGCCTTCGTGGCGCTCTCGGGCCGTCCTGGGTGCGACCGGCGGCGGTACCGAGCTCTCCCGGGGAGTCTCGGGAGAGCTCGGTACAGCCGCCTGGGCCGTGTGTGGGCCGTGTGTGGGAAGGCTTCGAGTAAAACCACGTGTCGGCCGTCTGGGCCCGTCCTGCAGCAGTCCCGAATCCGTCTTGTAACGGCCTTGGACGTCTTGCGGCGTGTTCCTGCCGTCTCTGCTTCTCTGGGCAAGAAGGGGTCCCTCTGGGCCACCCTGGGAGTGTTCGATTGTTTTGGAGCGGTATTCGGCTTATGCTTGCCGTTTGGCAGAGTATGCCCCCGGGCAGTGACTTCTTGCCCGAGGTATCGGTTGCAGCCTGTGCGTTGCAATCCAGGTGGTGCAGTCTGTGTGGTGCCACGTCTCTCTCCCTCTCTCTCTCTCTCTCCCTCTTTCTCTCTCCCTCCCTCTCCCTCTCTCCCTCCATCTCCCTCGCTCTCTCTTGTTTTTCCTCTCTCTCTCTCTCTTTCTCTCTCCCTCTCCCTCTCCCTCTCTCCCTCCATCTCCCTCGCTCTCTCTTTTTGTTCCCTCTCTCTCTCTCTTTCCCTGTCTCCCTCTCCCTCTCTCGCTCTTCCTGCGCATATGCATCGGCAGAGGTGTGGCGGCGACGCGGCGGCAACGGTCAAGAGGAGGTCCTCGTAGAACCCTGCCGGAGAGCTCCTTGAGGGTCTTCCCGGTGGCCTCTGTGGGCCCCTCGCGGCCTCTCGTGAGCACCTTTTGGGCCCCACGGGTCTTCGGGCCGTCTTTTGGGGCAACGGTGTACAGTCAACCCGCAAACTAAGGATGGGCAGCCTTCCCAAGGGTACCCTTGCATCCTCGACTCCTCGGTCCATCCTTGGCGACCTTCGTCGGCCGCGCCTTGCATCCTGGTCGCGTATCGTTATGACACGGGCCGACTGTAGCTCGCGGTCGTCTCTCGGCGGTTCTTGGGCCGTCTATCGGGAGGGGTGGGAGGGGGGTCACTGGAAGCCTACGGAAACCTTGCAAGACGATTGACAGGCGTTCTGACATGCACTACATGCCATGTGGCTTTCGGTGGCGAGCGAGGGGAGGAAGTGAGAAGGAGCTGGCCCTCTCAGAAGGCTCGGAAGTCCCCCGGCCTTCTGAGAAGTTCGCTAAGCCTTCCCCGAAGACAGAAATAACTTCTCAGAAGTCTCGCCGCCGAGGCTTGGTGGCGGATCCCGAGGCTTGATCTGAAGCGTCCTTGTGGTCGCCAGGGCCGCGTCTCCCTCTGGCTCCTTGCACAGCCAGATGCGGCGACCCTAGAGGTTGCCTGTCGTCGTCGTGCTCAGTCCTTGATGTGCATGGCATGGACAGCACGACAAGAAGACAGGGCCGTGCAGCTGCTCTACCTAGAGGTTGATGTATTCCAGTGAAGCTGACTCTGTGCTTGAGGCCGTCTGGTGAACTGGCAGCCACCCCCTAGCCGCAACTTTCTGCCTTCTGGTCGTCTGATGGATCAGCGGCCACCTTCTGCCCCTGGCCGCCCGATGGACGGGCCGCCACCTTTTGCCCGATACAGCCTGCGCCAGGAGCACACTTCTTGTAAGAGCTCGCCGCAACGCGCGCGTCAGGGATGGGAACATCTCCTCTTCCTTCTCCCTCCTCCCCGTCCTCCTCCTCCTCCTCCTCCTCCGCCTCTTCGCTTCCCTTGTCCTTCCTCTCTACCTCCATGCCCCGCACAGTACTCCATCCTCCCTCCGTCCTCCCTCCCTCTCCCTTCCCAGGACGTGCTGGTACTGGGGACCCCCTTTGGGCGGCATCCAGTGCTCCCCTCGCCCAGGGTGGGCTGCCCCAGCTGCTGCTCTCTCCTGCAGCCTAGGCTTAAATCGGCCATGCCCATCTACAGGAGGAATATTCAAGCATAGTCAAAATAATCATATGGGGACGATTTTTGACATTTTTTGAGTTTGACTATTGTTGAGCATTTTTCGACTATTTTGGATTTTTCGTCCAAGGTCCGCATGTAGGGGGACATGCCTGACCGCAGTTTGGGCGCTGAGGCACGGACTGCTTCAGGACTCTGGAGGGCTTTGGGTCTGGGACGTGGACAAATCCGTTTCAGAGCGTTCCGGAACGCTCTCAGTGCTCCAGGCATATTGGATGGGGTCGGCGTAGATGGGGTCGGAGGATCGCGCCGCATCCCCGACGCATCGGCGATGCGGCTCGATGCGGAGCCCGACTTGCTTCACGCCGACGTCGCCGATGCGTCGCCGACGTCGGCGATGCATCGCCGATGCGGCGCGATCCTCCGACCCCATCTACTCGGACCGCATCTAGGATGACTTTACAGCGTTCCGGAACGCTCTGAGAAGGCCGCGGCGCCCGAGACGGCCTCCAGAGCCGCCAGATCTCGGCGATTCCCGATGCATTCTCGCCCGAATTTGTCCTCGTCCCAATGTGTCGTCGTCCGAACTATCCTCGTCCTTGCCCGAATTCGTCCTCGTCCAAATCTCGGGGGCGCCAAAGAGGGGGGTGATGACTAGGGGGGGGTGGATATCATGGCGTGGGCCATGATATTTCCTCAGATTTCGTGGCGCCTCTTCTTATTTCATTACGTCCCTGGCCCCCCCGCTGGGCCGCGCACATGCCGCCGGCCATGATTTGCACCCTGATTTGCCGTCCTCGCCCAGGCCTCGGCTAAAAAAAAATATCGGGCCTCGGCTCGTGGCCGAGAGGCGCGCCCTGGCGAGAGAGGCGGCCGCCTCCGCTCCCGGTGCCCCTCGGCGGCAGCCCCTGGGCACTCGGAGGGGAGAGGAGCCGAAGGCTTAAGAGGAGGAGGAGGAGGAGGAGGAGGAGGAGGAGGAGGAGGAGGAGGAGGAGGAGGAGGGGGGGCGGGGGCGGGGGGGCGGGAGGCCGCCCGCGGCGGGCCTCCTCGCTCCTCCCGCGTGCCAAGCGGCTCCGTGCGCGTTCTGCGTGCGACCCACCAGTGCCACATCGCCGGAGCAGTCCCTCTGCCCACAGCGTACCAGTCTGAAGCATCTCCCGATCCCTGTGTTTGGCATCACCTCACCTCGATGCCGATCCTAAGGATTCCCTCAGTTTCTCAGGGCACATCCCTAAGATTGTCCTCGCTTTTTGCTCGCCCATCTCAGAGATAGGGATAAGTTCGAGGCTGGTTTACAGCGGCCGACGCAGAAAGTGTGTGTGTGTGTGTGCGTGTGTGTGTGTGTGTGTGTGTCTCTCTCTCTCTGTGTGTGTCTGTGTGCCTGTGTGTGTGTGCGTGTGTGTGTGTGTGCCTGTGTGTGTGTGTGTCTGTGTGTGTGTGTGTGTCTGTGTGTGTGTGTGTCTGTGTGTCTGTGTGTCTGTGTGTCTGTGTGTGTGTGCGCGTGTGTGTGTGTGTGTGTGTGTGTGTGTGTGTGTGTGTGTGTGCGTGCCGCGGCGGTGCACGAGCCCCTCGGCGGCGGCACAAGCACTTGGGAGGAATGAGGCTCAGGTCGGGCATGTCCCTCTACATGGGGGAATACTCAAGACAGTAAGAATAGAGTCTGGGAACGATTTTGGATTGTTTTCAGGTATTTTGTGACTACTGTTGCGTTATCCTCCAGAATCCGCCTGTAGGAGGCCATGCCCGACCTCGAGTGAGGCCGTCGCGGGGGGGTCTTTGGCAGGGGGCAGGCGGAGAAGAACTTTTGGCGCTCTGGCGTGCGGAGCTCGCCAGGGATGGGGGGGACCCAGAGCGGATTCCAGAAATCCGCGCGGAGCGCCATTTCTGCAGTTTGCTTTCTTCGAGAGAGGCAGCACGGCTCCCCGCCCCCCTCCTGCGCCCGCGCTGCCTCCCTTCAGAGGAGGAAGAGGTACCCATACCGCTGCCCTTCCCTAGTTTTCCCCTTCTTGGGCCTCGGGGGGGGGGGGGGCCCTCGTCGCCACCGCTGGATTCGCCTCGAAATCCTGGTCAGAACGCGCCCCAGGAGAGATCTAGAGAGTAGCGGTATCGGTACCTTTGGGTTCCCCAGCCTCCCTTCCTCTCTTTCGGTGCTTCTTTGTCTGTCTGTCTGTCTCTGTCTCTGTCTCTGTCTCTGTCTCTGTCTCTGTCTCTCTCTCTCTCTCTCCCTCCCCACCTCTCTCTGCCTCCCTCCCTGCCTCTTCTGCCTCTCTTTCTGTACCAGGCGCTGACCCAATTGGGGCGAGGTAGGGGGTCGCGGACCGCCATGGCGGCGGAACCGTCGCCGCAAGCCGCTGCGCTGGCCAGTTCGCCTGAACACGCCCAGCGCCCCCCGAAAGCGCCGCTGGCCACCGGGCCAACGCCCCCCCCGTACAGTCGGGGCTCAAGAGACCGGGGTCGGTGCAAACGGGGGTCAGCCAGAACGCCGGATCTTGCGGGATCCTGCAGGGCCAGGGGTGGCTTGGCCTGGGTTTGGGTGCAGGATCCTGCAGGCAGGATCCCTCAATGTTTGACAGACCCGAGTTTGCATTGACCCGGGTCAGTACGTCCCCGATGCAGGGGGGCCGTAGCTTGGACCGCGACCCCCGCTCCCATCCGGCAGGCGGGAACCCAACGGGAGCAACCGGCCCCCCCGACCGGCGTATAGCGCCCTCACTCCTTGCTGCGCGGCGGAGCGGCGCACTGCCTGCGAGAGAAATCTCTGGGGGTAGTCTGGGCTTTTGAGGTCGGCTAGGTGGGCAACAAGTTTGGCCGAGAAAGAGAGAAAGAGAGAGAGAGAGAGAGAGAAAGAGAGAGAAAGAGAGAGAGAGAGAGAGGAAAAAAAGAAAGAGAGAAAGAGAGAGAGAGAGAGAGAAAGAGAGAAAGAGAGAGAGAGAGAGAGAACAAAAAAAAGAGAGCCTGGCCCAGTCGTGTCAGCCCTCTCGGGCTCAGTTCCGCCCCGTCCTCTCCGATCGGCTCCGCCATCCCCGCCTGCCCCAACATATATTCTTGATGCAAGGGCGTGCCCCGCGCCTCGTAAACGCGCTACGTCGCGCCCAGGAACAGCCGGGCCTCCTCCTCGCACCGTTCCAGCGAGCCCAGGCCGCGGCTCGAAGGGGAACGTCGGGGGGGTCGAAGAGCCACGAGGATACGTTAGGTCCGATGTCGAAAGATTGGAAGGCGTTCGGAAGGGAGCTCGCGAGGGTCGAGAGCGCTCGCGGCCGCCGACGTCTTCGGCGAAGTCGTCGGCTGCAGCTTGAGAAGCAGGTGGGCAACTGGCCTCGGGCGGCGCGGCCGCGGCGGCCAGCGGCGACCTCGTGGCGGCGATCGCGAAGGGCGCGGCGGAGGAGGAGGTCCGCGGGCGGGCGCGGCTCGGAGCGAAGACGACCGCGGGCGAGGACCGGTCCCCGCGCGGGCGGTGCGCGGAGGTGCCCTTCGTGGCTCGGGGGGAGCTCTGGGGGCGGAGAAGTGCGCGCTGGCGGCGAGCGCGCGCGCCGAGGAGAGGCGCGGCGGTCTCCGCTGCGCGGAGCAGCCGTGCATCCTCTGTCCCTCGTGCAGGCGAAGGAGCTGGGAGAGGGTGGTTGCGAGGTGGGGCGAGGGTGCCTGGTCTCGAGGGTCGCGAGGCGCTGCGCGAGTCTCGTGCGACCCCCGAGCTCGAGAAACAGATCGAGGCCACGGAGTGGAAGAACATCCACCGGGAGAAGCTCGCGGCAACGGCGCGGCGCATCGAGGAAGCGAAGCGTGCGAGGTCGACGCGTTAGGGCCGCGCCCTGGAGTCGATGTGCATGCTGGCGGAGAAGTGCGGTGGACAGGTCGTGGCGAGGCTTGCGGTCGAGGGCTTCGGAGATCCAGGCCTGCCGCGTTTGGTGGAGGGGCGACGCGGAGGCGCCGACGGTGGGCCAGAACACTCCAGGCTGGGCCCGAGCATGTTCTACTACTGTCGCGGGGCGCCCTGGGCATTCGCGCGGGCGACGCCGTCGCCGGGAGCGCGGGCGACGGGCGCGAGGCGATCGCGAAGCACCTGGGACAGAGCCGGCCTTCCAGGAAGTGGAAGATCGGAGAAGGCGAGTTCTGCGGGTCCTAGGTCAGGCAGCGCGACGATTTTGGTATCTCGGTGTCGCAGGCCCGCTTTGCTCATGCCATGAAAATGCCGTGGGTGGATCGAGCGGCTCATGGCGAGCGCGAACGGGGCCCGCGAGAGGTCTCGGCGTGCCGGCGGGAGCTGGGGGAGGGGGGAGTGGCACCAGCCCCGTGCCCGCGTGGACATAGCTGCGCAGTCGAGCGCGGCGCAGCGGCAGATGGGCAGTCCGACAGTGGCGACCCCGAGACCGATCGATCAGATGATCCGTCGGTCTCGTCAGTTGCAGACATGACCATCATGGCCCGTCCTTGTCCAGCCGAGAACCCCGTCGTCGCGACTCATGCGGGCGCGGCATTTGCGAATTCTAATAGGGAGGGAACGTGGGCAGGATGCGTGATAGCTGCAGTGGGCAGCGCCGCTCTTAGAGATCAAGACAGTTCGCGGTCGCTCATGGCGCGGCGACCGCGTCGATGGAAAAGATTTGCGGCGGTCGCGCTGGCAGGAGCGGTTCCCGTGCTAGTAGACGGGCTCGGACATCGCGAGTGGATGATGAGTGCGTGGCAGGAGGCGATGGGCCCCGAATTCGACCTAGTTCGACGCGGCGAATCGTTTGCGAGGCGAGGTTCCGCGTGCGCTGTCGACTGCAACTGTGCGCGCGATAACGTCGCTGGCTCGGGCCGCCCCCGCGTGGGATGACGAGGGCCGAGATTGACGTGATCATCGCTCGAGAAAGTGTAGCACCATCACTGGCCGCAACCCGATGGGCTCCAACATCGTGCTACGTGGCCGATGGATTACGAAACGAGGCCGATCGACATGTTGCGAGCCACCGTTCGAGGCGGGCGTTGCCGGCTGTCCAGCGAGGCGGTTCATTTCCGACGAGCGACAGGTAAGAGGTATGACAGCACAGCAAAA